TCTCACTGTGGACTTGCAGTTGATCATGTTGGCAAAAGCCAACATGCTACATCCAAAGAATTTCTGTTTCTCATGTTCCTCGATTCTGGCTGGCTTCTCTTCTGCCTGTTGTACAGCACTGGAGTTTGTTCACAAGAGATTCTTTTCTGGTCAATTACTTCCAAAAAATAAATATGTCCATATTTTTTCCATGTATCATCATTGAATGTGCTTAAAACTGTAAAGAATTCAGAAACCCTGTAACAGTTATGTATAGTGAGAACAGTAAATAAGACTTTTTAGAATTGCTAGTAGTAAAATTTTGTCCATTTCACCAACTTCCTCTCTTGCAAATTGCAGAAGAAAAAATATTCCTTTCTAATAGCATAGTAGAAAGATATTTATATATTTCTCCTCTTCTCCACTGCACTTTCTTGACTCTGACCAGCTATGGCATAAAAACACATGGGAAAGGAGAAGGGAGATAGTCCCTTTGCCAAGGGAACTGACAGGAGAAGGCATGAAATGAACAGTCTGTAAATGAGCCAGAAACCAGAAAGTGTGTCCTGGTTATTTTTTTCCTGTACCCATTTTGTCAAAGAGCTAGAAGTACAAGGATCTTAGTACTCACCTCTAACAGAGTCCAGAATTAAAAAGACCAGTATGTGACAGCTGGGAAGATTTGTGAGGTTTATGACATTTAAGGAGTAATTCTTTTCAAAGGTAACAATGACAGACAGACCAAATTTACAATGTTCCTCACTTTTATTTACATGGTACTGGGAAATAGCCAATACAGGTTCTAACTCCAGCCCTCTAACAGCCCTCCAACATGATGCTGATCAACTCACCGTCTTCGGGCAACACTCTGGCTGCACAGGGTTATTGTGGTCAGAATTCCACTTCTTGTATTTCACAGGGAGAGGAGCAGTGATCAAATGCATTTCTCGCCTGAAGAGAAATATTGCAAACTACCCAGAAAATTCAGATGTATTACGGAACAGCAAAACTGTTGGCTAAAAATACACAAGAAAATTTAGAGAGGAAAATCTGATAAGTTCTTTTGTGTTTCTCACAGTTACTCTTCCTGTTCAGAGTCTGCTGTTCACATAAATTCTTCACCATTATGTACTTGATTCCAGCAGGACATGCTCCTGAAAACTGTAGTCTTATTATTCATCTTAATTCACTGACTTCCACAATAGAAGAGATAAGCAACTCATACACTGTCCGTTTTTAATCGGCTTGGGAATCAATTTGTTATGTAGAATCATCTATTCATTCACTCTACAGCAGTTTCTTTGAAAAAGGATTTTTGCCATTTGCAGAGATCAGGATCCAGCCCATTTAGCTCATTTCTGCCTGCTTCATGTTATGCCATAGAAATTCTCAAAGGATAAACATTGTTGGCTCTTGTGGGTGCCCACTTCTCTTGAGGGAGACTCTCAGGATCTGTAGCAGAAAACGAAAGTTGATACTGAGGAATTTGATTCCTGACAGCCAACAAGTTAAAAGTCATATAATCAAACCAGCAGGAAATAAGACTCTTGTTTATTCCTACTTTCACTTGAGTTCTCCTTCGTAACTGTAGTCTTTTACAATTGACCCTAGGAAATTCTACCTAGTTACTTTCAGACCATTTCTCCAGTTTTTAAAATTAAATTTTAATTCTAATTATTTCCTCCAAATCACTCACAAGACAGTATTAGATGTTTTGCAATGATTAAGTCATTAATTTCTAGTTTATTCAAGACATTAAAAACTATATCAAGACATTACACTTACGACTTTCTAATTGAGCAGTGCACTTAACTAAGAAGAACAGGTTTTGACCGGCTCTAGAAGGATGAGCCTGGAGGGGTGTTTCTCCAAACTGCAATTGCTGCAAAAAAATAGAAAAATCTCCCCAAAAATCTTTGGTTAAAATTTTGATTTTTTTTTTTTTCCTGATTCTAGCCATTCGGACTAGAGACTGTGTTCTATGATCAGTTCTGACACTGACCTAACTGAGTATTTTTTTGAGATTTTTATTAGTGACCTGAGTATTTTCTCCCCACTTTGCACTTTTGGCTCAAAATGTGCAACTCTATCCAAATAGTTATCTTTATGTTCCCTGAATATGATGTACAATTCATCAGTTAACTGTCAAACAGCAACAGCTCCTGATAGCCCAGCTCAGTGATGTCTAGAGACTTTGTTGGCGCGTTCATCTTCTGTGGACAGAATCCAGGATAAATTCTGAAACACCACAGCTTCCCCTATGAATAAACAAGATAGCGTTAGTTATTTCCTACCCTTCTGGCCACGGCCGAGGGGCAGGGCTTGCCCACACCTCATTGAATTCCAGTGGCACACCTACACCAGCTTCACAAAGCCCTGGCTATGAATCACACGCGGAATTGGCACCTCTCCTCCTACAAGAGAAGCAATATAGCCCAACCCAAGCATTTACCCACTCTCTAGTCGTCCATTTCAATAGTTGTGTGATTTGTCACTGGAACTTGGCATAATATCCAGAGTGCATCATCTGACATCAGTTATTTTTCCACATTGACAGCCAAATGGATACTTATGGTGTATGCTGAGAAGGAGGGAGGGAGGGAGAGATTCAGGCTTCAAAGAGTTAATTTAAAGCAGCGTCTTTCCCGAAGTTTTCTGTGTTATCAATCTTCCTTTAGTTTTTCTATGTAGCCTTTTAATCTCTGCACTTCTACTCAAAGATCAAAGCCTTCCTATTTCTTAAACAGCTAACCTTACATTATGGTTAATCCATGAAGCACCAGGTTTTGTAAGAGAGCCATATGTGGAACAATCTGCAGGTTCTTGGGCAGATACCCAAAATTACAACATCTCTGAGGAAGGCTGAGCTGACTGTGGCTGAACTGATTTTGGGGAAGCTAGGAAAGGTGTCGGGGCAAGCAGGGAAATCTAACCACTTGTTAAAAAGAGGTTGAACTGTTTCATGAGGTGGGTCAGGCTGTTCAAATCCCATTAAGATGAGCACACAGAAGGAAGGAAGTACTTTTTTAAGGTTAGGACAGCAACATCTCTCCCCAAAGTAATTTGCTCATGGAAAAAAAGGAGTTACAGCAAAGAGCAGAAATCCCAAGTTGGGGGAGGGTAAATTCAGAAATCTGCCGTATTTCAAAAAGCATGAAAACTGCACATCTTTCTGCACTTGAACTATTCATACTCGTTTTATGAGTAATCTTTGCACAGATGTTTCAGAAATACTTTTAGATTGGTTGGGATATGAGTGCAAAAGAATAAAGCTTTTAGCTTGTTTGGTGGCCAAAGCAAAGAAAAGCTAAATTTGTCCCTTGTTTATCAGTCGAATTTAAAATATTTAAAGTGTATTCAATGAATGCTCAGTGTGCCTAGCGCAAAGGATTTCTGCTGAGCAAAACACACCATACTTCAATGGTTTATACCAAACCTAATACAGCAAACACTTTAGCATGTGGATAACCAAACTGTTAAGTCAGTGCTGTATCAGATCTAATCTGGAAGCCTTCTTTCTGTATCATCAGGCAGTGCATAGAGATTTCAGTTGCTTGTTTGGTCCTATGCAGGTTTTTACCTAAATGATACAGTAAATTGACAAGGCACCTGAGAAAAGCTGGCACCACAGCTGGCTGCAACTCAGCAGAGGACTGAACCATTAGGTTGAATGTTTTGTTAATATCATTTTCAATGCCTTGATTTTCTCCAGAATTTACTATGGTTGAGCCAGCAAGAAATTCTTGGTTCATTGCTTGCTTTCTCATGGTACTTTGATTATAAGTAGCAGAAGAAAAAACATCTGAATCGAGGAAATAAAACAAAATTTTACTCTTATTTGTTCTTAAAGGGTATGATCCAGGTCTATTGAATTTAGTGGTAAGACACTGAATGTCTTTAAAAGGTTTAATTCAAGCTTTTAAAAAAAATAAAATATGTTTGTAACAAGAACAAATCAATAATAAAATAGGAAAAATGAAGCTTTCTATTGATTTCAACAGAGAGAACCATCAAACAATACTTTATAAACTCCCTACATGTTTATTCATAAAGCATATCACAGTGGGAACATGCTAGATGACTTCCAAATTTAAACTGGTTAGAGGTCCTTTAGGGGGTTCCTGGTTATTATCTGGACGATCTCACCAAAACAGATGATGTAGTATCAATAGTAATCGAATTATCAGTTAATAGATTACTATTGAATTGTCAGGACAGCAGGTTATATTCTTCTTGAGGGGTAACTTGAAGTGTATTGTTCAATAATTTTTTCAATTAAAATTAAAAACATGTAATCTCTATTCCCAAACTGAAAGAGAAAACCCTAGAAATTCAGCAACTATTATGGTACACTCAAGACATGGACAAAATATGGTACACTAAAGACTGGACAAAATATTGCATGAGTGATAGATGATCAATACAATAGCCTAAGTAATTATAAAAACCTGGCTTCCCCATTGTTTCATGTAAATATACAATCAGAAACATTTTTTGTCTGGCTTATGTCCCTTTTCTCTTTCTCCATCTTTTTCTCCTCTCTTCTTGAAAAACATAGGGAAAAGAGGTTAGAAATAGAAGAATATTGGAAATTGTTATTTTAATGCAAAAAAAAAAAAAAAGGCAGCTTTTTTAGAAAATCATCCTCTAGGAATCATTGTTTTGGAAGCAGGTGTGTCTGTGGGCGGGCTCTGCAGTCAAGGAATTTTGAGACCCTTGGAGAAGCATTACAGAAGTCAGTAAGAGAAAGAAGATATCTTGATATACATATCATCTGGTTAAATAAAGTCCCTATGGTCTTATTCCCAACAGACAGAATAAAATAAAGTGAAAAGAAACATTCCCATAACATTAAGAAGTCATTGCCTTCCTCATGGAACATCATAACTGATGAAGCAATTAAGTTTGAAACATTTTAAAATACTTTTGGTCAGATGCATTTGTGCTAAATGACTTCACTCTGACAAAGATCTATTCCCACTCCTAAAGACAGTACTCATCTGTACTTCATTTTCTAACAGGCTTTTTCAAGAAATGCTTCATCCTGCAGAGCACAAGATGATGAATATCGCCTAGAAGTTACGACTCCTTTGCAGAGGGTTGACTTGTTCATGGGCCAGTTCAACAGTGTCCTCCTAACTTCAATATCTGTCTTCACCAAAGGGAACCTTACCGTTGCTAATCTGGGAACTTCAGAGGGCCGCTTCATGCAGGTAAATATTACCACAACACCTTCACAGTAAAAAAACCTGCTGGAGTTTAGCAGGATGGTGAAAAGGGAGGACCAGTATTATGCCGGTTTAACAGGGATTTTAATGGGCTTTGTGGTTTGGAGCAATGGCTTTGGAGCAGATTCCACCATGATCTCCACTTAGGCCCGCTGGTTCAGTTCACAGAGCAGTTTTGGTCCATACGCTAGATTTCTTTCAAAGGAAACTAAGCTGAAAGCTCTGTCTTGGATACACATCAAATATGATCCCAACCCCAGATGGGGCAGAAAGGTCCAAAACAATGATTGATTCTTCAAATAGCTTCAGATGTACATTTCATATGCTCATTTGGTCTAGAGGATCAGATTAAGCCTAGTTCAAAGTAAAATGCCAGGACAGTTTATAGTGTAAAAGCAGGAGGCTTGGCATTAGTTGTTTCTATATACTGATTCACTCCTCTGCCACCAAATTACTTGCTAATGTACCCAGCCAATGATTCACAGCTGTAGAATTGAGATTAGCTCCTCCTCCACTTAATTGCAAGTCTCTCTGAGTGCATCTTAGATTTTCGGGTTCTTGCTCATTCTCTTCTCACTCTGTTCAGGACAGCAGTTCTTCCTGTCCTAAATCAGATTTTCCATAAAACCTGGTAAATCGCCCTCCTGAGAAGTCTGTCTCCCTCCACTGATTACATAACTAATCTAGACAGCTAGATTACACTACATAACTTCTTTGTAGGTGACTAACAAAGTAAGTCTAAAGCATAGGGTGAACAATCTTTTAAAAACTTGGCAGTCAAAATCAAACATCAGAAGACAAAATACTTTGAAAGCACCACAGGCTTCCTTTATTCACCCATCTTATTTCAAGCACTGTCGTTCTGCAATGAGAATTTAGCTTCTCCAGCTGCCAACAGGATCCAACCTGGATGTACATCTCAGACTGGATCACTCTTGCGCCCAAGGACCTGTGTCTTTTTACTCTGCCTGTATTATTTGTCTTTTAGTGGGCTCTCAGAAGTACTGACAGTCTTTGGCCCTTCTTGCTCTGTAGGCTGCAGAGCGTCATCAGTATTCTTGTCCCCCATCATTAGCTGAAACCGGATGAGATGTGACATCATGAGTTGCTGTGCCCTTCCAGCTTTCCCATTTCCCAAAACCTTCCATTAGATAGAAAACACTTGGGCACTTTCACCTTTTCATAGAAACCTTTGTGTAGTGTAAGTCATTAGAGAAGATTAGCTAACAAGCCTTCCCTTTCTTCTCTCCCTTTTCCTCATTCTGTGTCCTTGCCATATATAGTAAGTAGGGTTACATACTGTCCCTAGTACCTGTTAACCCACTGTTGGCAATTTTTTTGGACAAAGGGAGTCCTATACCTCCGTTTCTGCCTTCTGCACAGGCTGCACATAGAACCTGCCCCATAATGCCAAATCCATAATGCACCTACAGGGAGGGAGATCAAAGTGATTTACCACAAAGGACAGATGAAAAACTGGAGAAGATCAGAGAAAACCACATTTCTCTTTCTCCCTAAAAGGCAGGAAATTAACAACATATTCAGTGACAGCCCCGCCAGTTTTACCTGAACTTCCCACGATGTCCTTGTTGACTTTAAGCCGCAGTTTGTCTTCAGTGCGGGAAGGGCAAATGCTAAGAGCTACACACAGAGCAGAGGAGCAACCTACACTCTGTTCTTAAATGTTCACCATGAACATGAACAATTTGTTTAACCTTTCCGAAGCCATTTCCTTATCTACAAAATACAGTTAATAACAACTACTGCCTTACTCGTGGCATTTCTTCTGGGCTATCACAAACCTTTTAGGGAGGTTTGGTGGAAAGCGCAAGGCAGCATTATATTTGTTTGTAACATTCCTTAAATGATTCATTCAAGTCCTACACCACACACACTTCATTCAGACGTTTGCCCAACTCAAGGAACAATTAAAATATTTCCAGAATACATTTCCCATTCCAGGTTCAGTTACAGATCAAAAGAAAGGCTATTGTGTAAACTGCACATTGCCATTAGCAGAAATATTCTCATCATTGAATTAGATTGGCTTGAGTTACAGGGGAAGTCAGCACTGGGCTCATATTGTAATAAGGAGGAGAATAAGCATACTGACTACCTTTAATGACGCTACCTCCAAATAAAAAGGTTAGCATTTGTTTTGCCTTTAAATGATCTTGGAAGGGATACTTGGTCTGTAGGATACAGCAGACACAGCTTTCTCCAGAATTTAATGTTCACTTACATTATTTTTTTCCCCCACTAATAGTTATCTAGGAAGTGCTTTCAAACATGTTCATTAGCAAATGCCCAGCTAAAGCAGATTTGCAGTGTTTCTATGGAAATATAGCTATTAACTGCAATGAGATGGATATCATTAAAAATTGAGCTATTAAACAACCATTACTGAAGTAAAATGGGTTAAAAAAAAATCAAGATAATCTAACAATGACTTAATTTATCAAAAAGATATCCACAAACACTTCCCTGCATTTTTAAGCAAAGAAATGTAATGATGTTCTTTTTTGCTTCATTCACAAATCTACTGGAACATATTGCAAAGAATTCTTCATTTTTTCATTTATTATGCACCTCTCTTTTGCACAGTCATTTGCACTCATATTTTTAGCTCTTTGCATATGCATATGCTGAATTTTTCTGTGCAGTCCCCTTGTAACTTGTAGCTATTCAAAGCTGACTATTCCCCTTCAGAGGTAGGTGTGCTTTCAGGGAAAATTAGCTGTAAAATTCTACCTATCAGGGAACCTGTTTTAAAACTGATTATATATATTAATAACTTGCAAACATATTTTTATGCCAACTATTTAAAAGCAAAAACAAAAAAAAAATCATATATGTTTCCAAAATTAGAAGACCAGCTCAGCCCTTCCAGTGAATCCAGTTCAGGTTGTATTGTCTTTGAAATATCAAACCTCACCATATTTAGACAATTTAGTTTGTGACATAAATTTCTGCAGTAGCAGTCATCCATGAGATTAAAAGAAATAGTAGTACAGTACCTCTGCCTCTGACAACCTCAACTTCAAGTCCCCAAATACAAAACCGCCTGGTGAAAGTAATGAACATTTAATTCACATTTTTGCTGTATTAATTTAGGGTTTCCTTTAATTGTTATGAAATATTTTGTGAAAGAAAAATAGATGTTTAAAACATAGTGATCATACCATCTAAATTGAATTGAAGGTCCAAGCCTGCTCTGTGGAAGCCAGTAGGTGCAGCAGCAAGCTACTGATACTCAACCCAAGAGAAATTTATTTGAAAACGTTTCTCATAGTCTCCCATTATACTTGCATATACTTGATCAGCAGCCAGCCAGTTGATTCTCCTTTGCTTTCCTTTTGCGTGCTGTCTTTCATCTCCTTTTGCACTTACTTCTTCTCATCACTTTCTGCCTTCCTACCAAGCACTCTTTGCTGACTGTTTCCAACACCATCCACTTCTCTCTCTTTACCACAGGACTGTAGCACAGCATTGCTGCAGAAGTCAACAAAAGGTTTAACACATAGTTTCTGAGAACTAAGTTTTTCCTTCTGTAGATGGTGGCTACCTGATTCTGGAGCTTTGATCTATTTAGAGACGTATCACAAAGAATAGTTTGTATCTTTACATGTGATTCCACTGAAGCTTATGGCATTACCCATCAAAACTGTGCTAATGAACCTCTCAGAATATAGCCTGTGTTTTGCTTATTTTAAAAAAATGACATCTGAGGAGCCAATAATATTCAGAATGCAGAAGCAGGTATGTTTTATCCAACCAAGGAATAGTCACCTGTTGTTTTCTGCTTGTGCTCTTTGTCCGATTAAATAGCATTATTCAATTAAACAGCTCTGGAAAGCAGTAATACTGGAAGGGAAATAAGTGTTCTTCACTAAACGCTTATGTTTTTCAGCCAAAGTCTAAAACTAAAATCAAATTGATCTGGATGGTCCAAATACAGAAGATTCATGAGTTCTTTTAAGGAGGATAATTGGGGCCAGGAGGTGAATTCCAAAGCTCTCCCGGAGAGTAATTGCAGCCCATTGACATACTGAGCATGTTTTGGCTGCATCAGAAATGTTAAATCTGTATTTGGCCATGAATAGATTGGAGTTTGTAGTTTACCAAATATTGTGGAGTTTCTGTTACAAAACAGAGCACTAATAATTTTTCTAGGACAGCTGACATGCATGAGACGGAAAAGAAAAATGGTTTTACTTCCTTCCTAAGCTGGAGCCTGACAACAAGGGTTTTTTTCCCCCTCTCTTCTTTTTTTTTTTTTCTGTTGAAAAGTTGCAGCTGTTTCGGCCTTTCTTATTGTGCTTGTTTTCAGAGTGTGACTGGGAACACAGGCTGAAAGTACAGCTGTTGGGTGCAAAGTGAATCAGGTATTTCACAGTGGTTATTTAATTAGAAAACAGCACCCAGTCACACTGCTGTAGTTGGGGAATCAGATTTTCAGCTGGTGTAGAGCAGCCTTACTCTGCTCGAGCCAAAGAAGCTATGCTGAGACTACAACTCACAACTGGAAAAGACACTTTCATTACCAGCCAGTATTTTAGGAAATTATAGTTTGTCAAAAAAAAACCCCAAAACCACACCACAAAACCAAAACATCATGATATATTGAGGTAAAATATCTTCTAGTCTTGCTCAGTTCCAAGCTGGGTTTTTTTTAAATTTTTTTATGTGCCTAGAGCTTGGTATTATTATAGAGAGTGACTTCTGAGTGATGAAGAAAAGAGCAAAGTTCTTCAGGAAGGGGAAATCTTTCTGATAGCTCTGGGGAGAGTGGGGTATGGGAATGTTTTACAAAATTTATTCTGAAAAGCTTGCATTTGGTCTGGCCATAACAGTGAACAAGAGACTGAGGCCCTTGACGTACACAGAGGCCAGTTTCCAGCATGATGCTATGTTCGGACGCAGAATACTGCGTGTGCTCCTTATGCTTGAAGCTGGCCTCACCAAGGTAGAGCCCAAGCAAATGC